CTAATTTAGTTTCCGAACCTATGTCTGAAGGAAGTTACATTGTATATGTTTTGACACCGATCCTTAATGAAATTTTTATAAAACATAAAAAAAAATGGCGTGCTACATATGGCGAGACATGCCTTAAGGCAAGCTCTGAAGATTGCAATTCCCAGAAAGTAGATGATAAAAATCGATCCCCTGGAAGGAAAATCAATACAATCATTACTTTGAGGGAGGAAGATGAAGAGTTTTCAGTCATTGAAGTAAGTGGACCTCCATCGAAAAAAAACTGGAGTCATTTCAAAAGTGATCGAATGAAGATTTCAAAAATGCTAAAAACTTTAATCAATCGGCTTGTAAAAATTCGTCCAAGTTCTGACATTAGAATGGTTAGGTTATACGGAATGCAATCATATTGTAAATCTTCATTGCCATTTTATTATTATCATTTTGTTATCACCACTTGTTTTTACTGACTAATTATTGATATTTATAGTATATGAATTAATTATATATGAATTCAAACTCAATTATTCTGAAATTTACACTATGGAAGAAATATTAAGATTTCCAATGCCTAAAACATGGAAAGATATGTTTAAAGCACACGAGACAGTGATAGGCTTATTAAAATATGAGGTTTGTATAGCAATAGGCAGATTCTCAAAAAATATAGAATATATAATAATATTAATATTTTCATATTAGCTTCTGTTATTAGAAAGTTCAAAAACAATAAATGATTTTCTGTGGTCTGAATCTGATAACCAAGTCACGACAATGACAACTCGGATGATTTATACTCCAGATAACAATGGCACTAAGAAAATCCAAAGAGAATTCTGAACAAAAACGTCAAAATACAATTCGTGCAGGTTTTAAAGAATTAACGGATATTATACCAACTTTAAAAAATGTCAATAATTCCATATTAATTAAACATTTGGAAAGGAGAAATAATATTTATTACTATAAAAATCATTATATTAAAAGAATTTTATTATATGCTCAAGATAAATATTAGTAGAAACATTTCAAATGTTAAAAAAATTCACTGTTGTTTTTGCTAATTTGATTAATTAAATAGGCATTAAAAATTAATTGGATGTATTGTACTGTACAAGGAGGCTTCAAAAAAATTTCGTACATTGTATGAAATGTCATTGTGATTTATATGAATTATTAGTTTAAAC